CCTGTTTACTTAGTACATTTTTGAGATATAGCAACACCGGTGATGATCACCAGTGGTGGTAAATAGCAAAATTCTTTCTTTATTAATAAAAATAAAATAAAAATTTTATACTATAATATTTCAGTTGATTCACAATAATTTTTATTTAAAAATTGAATTATTATACATATATATTTTTTCTTTTCTAAATTTACAATTATGATTAACATGAATTAATTTTAAAATAAAAAAATAAGACTACATTATATACGCTATATAGTGTCTTCTAAAAATAAAAAAAAATGTAACTGCGATTCTATAGATCTCTTGTTAAAACAATATAATCTAAGCGTAGAGTGCATACCTTCTTACAAGTTGGAGTTTTATTTTGCACCTCTAGAAATTTATATTCTTGGGCGGGTATGTAAATTTTGCTTTGCATTATAAGTCTAAAAAATAAAACAAGACTGTTTTTGACAGCGTGATCTTTCTCAGGTTTATTGTTTTTCTTAGTTTAAACTAAAAAAGCAAGAAAGAATTTGTGTGGCTTAACTGTTGCTCCTAGTCTTGTAAGTGTGATTTCCTTTTAGAAAACCCTGAAAATACCGTTTGAAAAGGGCCTACCGTTGCAATTTACTATGAAAAATGGATCGATCATATGAATGTCGATCACTCAAATTTCATAGTAAAACATTTACCCCCATGATCTGCGTGACAAATCGTGTGACTGATAAGAGACTTAATAGAACTATAAAAAAATATCTTTAATATATTTTCAATATATGTTTAATATATTTTTACAATATATTTAATATATTCTTTAAAAAATAATATTTTAAAGACAATTATAAGTATGAGTATTATATAATAAATATATTTGGCAAAAATACAGGTTTCTGTAAAGAATAGCATAAATTAATAAGATGAATTAAACAAAATCTTTACTGAATTTTTAAATAGTATTTTCCATAAAAAGCTCCTTGGATCTTTTTCTAATTCTTGTATTAGAGCTAAATTATCACAAAAAGTCTTTCCAAGTCAACTCAGAAATAGAAACCTCATTAATACCGGAAAGTAATTCCTCGTAAGGTAATGCCTCACTATTGTTAACTAGTGTTGTTCCCATATTAAATTTACCCTTCAGTGTTAATAATTTTTTGATTCGATCCGATTTGGGAGGCCTTTCTTCATTAATTCTCACCACTCCTATTTTCTGTAAACTGTAGATAATTTTGTAAGAGATTTAGAACTAACGCAAAACATAAAATTAATTAATTCTCAATCATATAATCGAAAAATATAATTATTAGAAGCGCATGACCGTTAGATAATAATAGTAGTAAAAAAAAACATTTTAAACAGTTTTTTTATTGTTTTATCAAAGCTATCGATAGTTATTATTTTTTAATGTGAAATTTGCTTGTCGGCCAATACAACCTTTCATTCTATATTAGTTTAACATTTGTCGGTATTGAAGTCCAAGGTTTACAATATTACCACTATGTAACCCATTGAATAAAGTTTTGCGAATGAATTATTTGAAGAACCAGAATCCTGTTTTTTGAGTTTTTAACAAATCTTATATATTTCTTGGAAGACATATATAATTAGAGGTCTGCAAATGCCTGTGCCCGTCACATTGGCACCAGACCGGGCATTATTAATGGCATGTTGGCACAAAGTGTCAGGCACTAACAAAGACATGGGAACAAAATTCTAGGCTATAAAGCCTTGTATTATTTATTTGTTTTATTTATCAATGTGGAATTCTAAAAAACAATTTTGACTCTTATTATAACAAAGTGGTACATTACAGGAAACACACCAAAGATTACTTCTGTTTGGTGATTTGCAACTCATGACCAATTTTTTTTGGTTTGCTAACCAAAAACACTACTGGCAAACTTCTTGGTTTTTTCTCCACTCTACAAAATGGTCTCCAGGTTTCAACCGCTAATTAGTGAGCTCAAAATGCTTTGTAACTTTTATTTTTTTTGATTCTTTTTTTTTTTTTCTATGCTATTTCTTAGTTTAACTTCACCAATATCATTGGCAAAGTTCACAAAAGCCCAAACAAGCTCAAGACGGAATTCCTTTTACTCTTGTGTTATTCTTAGGGTTTTGGCAATGCAGTATGAGTTGATGATTGCAGTGTCTAGTAGTCAAAAAAACAGTGCTATTCAATTTCTACATGTCATTTTTTGCATGCTGTAATAGAATCGTAACTGATCCGCAACATCTACACTGTTCATATTATTATTGTAATCGTCAACAATCTTGGGAATTTTTAAATTCTTTTTGAATTCAGATTCAAACACGGCACGCACTTGAGTAAGTATTGAATAATAAGTAAGTATTGAATAATAAATAAGTAAAAAAAAAAAAAAAAAAAAAAGATAAATATGTAAAAATAAAAATAAAAAATAAAGATAAAAATAACAAGAAATAAAATAATAAATTAAATAAGTAAAAAAAAAAGATTGGATTTTAATTTAATGTGTTAAGATATTATTTATTATAGAATTTAAAATTATTAATTATTATGTGATTTATGGACATAAATGTCCGTAAAATTACCTGATAGTTATCAAAAAAAAAACTTAATTAATAATCCAAATATAATTTTGATAGCACAAAAAAAAAAAAAAAAAAAAAAAAAAAAAACTAGATACTAGCCTTAGATGCATTTATACTTGTTTCTCTTGGTTGCCATCTTTCTCGCATTACCTTCTATTCTTCACTGACAAGACTATAGATTGTTGATAGCATTATGACAGGCCCATTATCCTGCCAAAAAAAAACTAACACACTATTTATTACCACCCCAGAACGAACATCCCAGTCAAGTTTAGCATTTCTATCTACTCTTAACTTTTTTAGAAATCAAGAGAAATTTTTTCTAACAGTTCCACAAGCACCAATTCCAATTTGTCAAAGATGCTAGAAAAGAGTAATACTAGAAAAATAATTATCCATATATACATTGTATGGATAGTGTTGATATGGAAGTTGTTCAACAAAATGAAAGACCAAATTTCCAATTTGACTAAGACCCTAGATTTTTTTTGTATCACTTGGAACAACACATGATGTTGGTATAAAAGTATATATATACCTTGCTTCACAGAGCAATAAGATCTTGAATCACTCTGGTGTTGGTTTGTTTTTTATATGAACTATGTGAACACTTCTGCCAGAAAATCAGATTATCATCTTATCAATTGAGATATTCGAATTTGGTGTGTAAAGATATTTTGAAGTATCTCTAATGTGGGAAAGCAGCGGTTTTAATTTTTCAAAGTAATTATTAATTTCTTAAGCAGAAGAAAATATATGCAAAAACCTTTTAATTTGTTCAAACCAAAACAATGATATTTGCTTTGAAATATTATAGGAGGGAAGCTTAAGATTTTCAACCCAATATTAACTAAGGGCGGAGGACTTAAAAAGTCTCTGGTAAATAACAAGAGCAATCCAAATAATTAACTCTTTATGAGTTATGTTCTGCTACTATCTACTAACAGCACTAGCATTCTTGGTTAATGTATACAAATTTGTGTTGACAATGATTGTATCTAATATATTTGTTGTAAAAAAAAAGAAAAAAAATATCTACTAGCTTAATAGTACCAATATTAATATGTGACGGCAACCGAACAGATGCCTGGCATAGTAGTCTTAGATGAGCGAATGGCTCAAAGTCTGGTGGAGGTGGTGGCAGCTCTAATTGTAGTGTTTCAGCTAATTTTTTTTTTTCTTTTAGACACTTTTAGTATTTGTTTCTTCATTACTTTCACTTTTACTTTCTGAGCTCTAATTGTTTAATGAATGCCGGTGAAAAGTTAGAAGTGGTTCATATTCATCTTCATTGTTAGTATTCAATTCTTCAACAAAGGGAGTTGAACTTGAAGTCAATATATTTGCCCCGACTACAGAGAATGACCCAGAAGATGACCTAGAGGACGACCCAGAAGTTAACCCAGTTATAGAGGATATAGTAATGTTTTTTTTCTTTTCATTTTTTTTTTTTTTTTTTTTTTCTATCTTTTTTTTTTTTTTCTTTTTTCTATCTTTTTTTTTTTTTTTTTTTTTTTTTTAAATCACACTAATTGCACTTGATTTAAAGCAAAGGCGTTGTTATTTGAGTTCATGGATGATTATTTGTTTATTCATTATTTAAAAGGTTATTTTGTGCAAAGAATTCAGTTTAATTTCTAGTGATTCAAAAGTTAGTTGATTATCAAGTTACCCAAATACATATTTTGGGATTTACTTGCATAGCGACAGTGCTGGAAGTAGAAGATACTATGAACTACGGTATAATCGACATGTTATATACTTCAATTTTAGCTTATAAATAGGGAGGTCGAAGCTTAATAAAATCTTACACAATTATCCAAAAATAGGGTTAAAAAAATTTTAGCATACAAATTTGTACACTATACAGTTTAAGGGATAATCACTCTCTAGCTGGCTTGTAAATTACCAATTAAAAAATTTTTAAGAAAAAAAATTTTTTTCTAATTAAACCCCATTTTGCACTTAGTAAAAGGTTTGCAAAAATAAACAAAACACTTTAAAAGTGTAAAATTTTATGTTGAACAACTTTACTTAAAAGACAAAGGCAGGTTACATAAGTGAAAAAAAAAGTTGCATATAGAAAAACTAGAATTTTTAACTTTAACATATAGCTAACTTGTTTTTTTATAAAGGTAACTTACTTTTATCTTCTAAGTAAAGTTGTTCAGAGCATGCTTTTACATATATTCATCACTTTAAAATTAGTAAATTTTATTTTTGCTGAAGTTACATTTTTAAAATATGCAAAGATAACAAAGCTATAATTTGCCAATTAGAGCAAAAAAGTTCTTCTTTTCATGCTCTATATAATCGCAGAATTTAATTTTAAGTTAATATGTAGATCGAAAAACATCAAAGCTGCAAAGTTTATAGTAATTTTATATATTTTTTATTATAATTTTATATGTAAAAAATTTACATATGTAACTGATATGTAATTTAAACGGTTTGTTTATAATAATAAAGTTGTACAATATATATTGTTTTAAAAAAAAATTAACTTCACATATAACTAAAATTTCTTTAAACACTATATATTTTTCTCTAGTAATACAAATAATTACAAATTCTAATTGGTCAAATCATATAATATTAATCATATAATATAATATAATATTGTTATACAAAGTTGATCTATAAATTTGAAAATATTTATACCCTACCCTTAATCAGAATAACTTTAGGTGCTGAACTTTTGGATTTTAATTAAATAAAAAAATCATTAAAATTATTAACCATTAATAATTTGATTTTTGCTAATAATTCCTATATGATTATATTAAAAAACTGCATATTACAGTACTGTATATCTAAAATTATAAACCTTAAAGTCCAAATTTTTATAAATTTAATGTAATAGAGAATGATACTGCACTGCACATTATCAAGTAGTTTCTAGTTAATAACTCGACTAATTGATTAATAATCATTAATTATTATCGTTATAATTCAAGAGGTCCATCACTAGGCACGGATACAAATAATCATAACAAAAGTAAAGTAATATTATAATTTAGTTCGGGTTCGTAACACTTCGTAGAAGACGAGTTTATTTTTAAAGACAATTAATTTACAAACAGTTCATTCCATGGACAGTTCATTTTATAGATATTTCATTTTGTAGACAATCTTTGACAGCAAATAACTTCTGAATCAGTGTTAAAGATTGTCTACAAAATGAAATGTCTATGAAATGAACTGTCTATGAAATGAACTGTCTGTAAGTCGTTAAAATAAACGTCTATAAATTGATTGTCTGTGAAACAAAGTGTCTGAAATAAACTTCTACGAAGTGATACGGACCCAATAAAAAGCACAATATCATAATCATTTCAGAAAAAGAAAATGTGCATTCCAAAAAAGAATAAATAACTCACCTCAGAAATTTTTTATGTTTGCGTTTTTGCTTCAAATGGTTTCCTAATATTACGCATTCCTGAAAAAACACGCGACATGCATTTGAAACAGCCTTGGTATTATGAATCAAGAGAACTGGAGCATCCAATCAATATAACTTAAACAGAACGCACGAATAGGAGCGCAAACGTTCCTTTGTTTACTAATATGGACCAAATTGGCCAAGAAAAGCTCTTGGATTTGTTCAAAATTTAGTTCCGTTTCTTCGTCTATAGATTTATTCACAAAACTTTCCAGACACCATCTGGATACTGACTCTTCGGTGAAGAATTTGTGTATGCCTAAAATATCCGAACATTTATAATCAAAAAGCTTTGAGCTCTTTAAGTGTGATTCTTTGAGGTCATCCATTTAAACTCTAGTAAGATAATTAACGTGACGTGACAAATTACTGGGAAATTACGCGTCGTAGAATTTTGGGGTGTTACACGAAAGTTACGAAATTTCATGATTATCAGCTAATCATATCAGATCACAGATTTTAGTTACGTTCAACTCTAAGTCACTTAGAACTTTTAATACCACATGCTTCAGGATCCGAAGCTACAATTTTTTGTTAATGGATTCAAGTGGATTGTATTCAAACGACTATTAAATTATAGTACAAAAGCTTCAGGTTTGATTAGTAGACTTATTCACGCTCATAGGCAACATTAATCAATTTTGTAACGTGTTTCTATTTTTAAATACGTTTCTCCTGTTGATTTTGTTAAACAGAATGGAAGTACTATATGAAGTGTCGACAAGCGAAAACAGGGAATTTCGATTTTTGCCGGCTCCGCTTTCTGATCCGATTCCTGATAAATTTAAATTAAGCACAACATAAATTATATGGTGCGTTAAATCACATTTTTCGGAGTTTGATCTGTAAAATAATTTCGGAAAACTCGCAATTCCCTGTTTTCGCTCGTCGACACTCATATTAACACACCATCTCAATGAAAGTTACTGAGCTTTTAATGCCACATGTTTCAGGATTCGAAGCTACAATTATGTCCCTACTAACTTTCTTCTCACAGCATTTTTAGTTTTCCGACCCATGACTATTACGTCTGGCAACAGCCGGTGGTAGACCCATGGACGTGCAAAATAGAGATAATCACACCAGCAACAGGACAATATGACCTCTCTTTTGCAACCCTATCAAGCTGTGTCTGGCAACCAGCCGGCAGTTTTGGTAGAAGTGCAAACAGAACGTGCTCATGCCTGGCAACCAGCCGGTGACCGTTCTGCTTGTAAAGGTAACCGTTAATAACTGTGCCTGGCAACCAGCCGGCAGTTTTGATGGGTTTATAATATAATTTTTATCTTATCAGCTTAGTTCAATTATCATAGTGATTTTCGGTCACATATTTTATTGAGTTTATATAGGGAATAGATCGAAAAAAGCATAACGATAATAATTTATTCTGGATTATTTATATGAAGTAACTTTAGATGAGATTTGAAAAGACCGGTTTAAGACTGAAACATTTTAACTATGGTGAGATACTGATGATACTAGAATTCTACCATAAATCCCATTATTTGGCAGTTAAAGTTCTTATAAAAAAGATCTCATAATTAGATGTATGATATATGTATCGAATAACAAAACTTTAATATTAAATATAATAAATTTTTGCTACTTTTAATCCACCATTAATGCAATATTTTTGTATTATAATTGGAAAATTAAATCAACTGTAAATATTAGATATCTTGAAGTGAGTTGACTGAATTCTAAGAATGAGTAACTATCAAAAAAATTGTACCAAAAATTCGAAGAGATAAGAATATCAGATATGTTAAACAGGATCTCTTGCAATATAGGTGATACCTATTCTAAATCAATTGATTAATTATACTTTTTATTAATAGTCTCACCTATACTGAAAGAGATCCGCTATTGAATCTGGATATTAAGCCTTTTTGTTTATTTTAATTTATCTAATGAATTTAGAACGATCTATAATTATGTATATATATAATATTATAAAACATTCGTCTAATTGAATGATTCGACAGGTAACTAATTTATACAGCTCAAAGTATTTTTTTCAAAATGTTTATTATTATTATTATTATTATTATTATTATTATTACGTATTATTATATTATTATTATTATTATTATTACGTATTATTATATTATTATTTATAATTATTTATTAATTATTATTATTATTATTATTATTATTATTAGAGCTACTTCAGCAAGACATAGTATTAATTAGAATCGTTTTTTTAAATAATTAATTTTTTTTTAAATTCTAGTTAAAGATTTTCTTAATAACTATTTAATCTATACTTACAGCAAAAACTACTTGTCCTAATCTCAAATTCCGATTTTATTATATTTGGAATTTGAGATTTGGGATTTGTGACAATTTTTACTGTAAGATTTTGAAGAGAATTATAGTTTGTGTAGCATAATTTAACAAAATCCAATAAATTTTTTTTTATTTTAATTTACTGTATAATTTTTAAAATAAAAATAAAATATTTTTATTAGGGGGTTTCAAAGTTAACAAATAAGTGGCGCATTTTGAAATTAAATGAGGGTTTAAAAAATCTTAATTGTTTTTCAAGATTTTAAAATCGGAAAGTGAAATGGGAGTGTTTGGAGATCCCCATTTCATGAAA